CCCCAAAACCCCAAAACCCCAAAACCCCAAAACCCCTTACTTTAAAATTAAGGTTGAATTAGTATGGTCCTCCTATATGAGCATATTTTGTTCTCTTTGGTGCATTGTATTGATCCTCATAATATTTCTCCATGTTTTCCAAGTAAGACTCAATGAAGTCCTTCTTCAATCAGCATTTTATCATCTGAACTATTAAAGATTCTATTGAAATAAACAACGGAAGCTCATCAGCAAGGATTGGATTATCACTAACCATCTCTTTAAAGATGAGATTCATGTATTCAAATGGTATTGGCAGCTTTATCTTAAAAGCAAGTCTTCCAATTGCTTCTATAAATTCTACAAGTGTCATATTAATATGTCTATCACTATCAAGCTCATCTATCTGGGTCATCATCGAACAGTTGAAGATTGGTAGAATCTCTCTTTGGCCAAAATCATCACTCACAACTCCTATTTTATCGATAAGATCAAAGAATTCTTCTGAAGACATGTATTTTGGAGCACCAGGGAGAGCAAACCTGCCACAATATTTTTCATAGATCTTTTTAATAGCTGGCATGTATCTTTTGAACACATAATCACAGTGTTCATTCCAGAGATAATTTTTCCTCCATCTATGGCAATCGTACTTCTCAAAGAACTCCTTGAGGTGTTCATCAAACATCTTTCTCATGGATTCATGAAAGGTGCTTCATGTTTTGTTCCTTATAAATTTGGACTTGGCAATTCTCACAAAATATTCCATCAATTGGTACCTGACTAGCTGCCTTTCAGGATTTCTGGGATTGTTCTAGAAGTAACTAATGTTTCTTACTTTATTTCCAGCATTAGTTGCAACAAATTCCAGGTCAATATCTGAGAGGTTGAGGGATGTATTATCCACCAAATTGCTGCACCCGCCAATTATCTCACTAATAACATTGGAACCGATGCTTGGATAAAGCCCAACTTGGCCCAAAGCTGCTTGGAATTTATACACTTCACGACTAAATATGATAAATCTTGGTCTTACAAATGCTTGTACAGAGATCTGAGTAATTTCTTAACTTCCGTTTGATCATCTCCATTCTTCACTAATTTAGTGATTTTACTACAATTCCAGTCGAACTCAAAGCATTCATCAAGGATCTTTGGAGTATCTGGCTTATAATCTAAACATAGTTAAGTCTAAATACCTTTGAAGACAGATTTGAAGAAATCCCAAGGAGTTTTGATCCTTTCCTTCTTCTCATGAAATTTAGGAGGTGGTCTTGGGATGCAGGGCAATTTTGACCTATGATCCTTATCAAATGTGCATGTTGTCTGCTTCAGCCCTTTCATTATATTGACTTTATCTAATTTCCTGTGCTCATTTATTAACATTCAGTCTTCTTGGGGGAGATCCACTGCCAAAATTATGGTATTATCCTCATTCATGAAATAGTATTTTCAATCTAAGGGAGGAATCATCCTGTAGGAAGAAAAGGCACCACTCTTGATATTATCCGCTAGCAATAGATCAGGATGATAGTTATCAAATTCTGCGTGCAATGTTAGTTCTTTTTCTTTATTTATAGGTTCTTCAGTTGATATACCGGGTGTCAATTCAAATTTATGAGGGACCCATCCTTCACAAATCCAGCAATTAGTCTTGTTGGCATTTCCTATTTGCTCTTTTGCGATTATGCCAGCTTGGAGGCCTCCCTGAATCCTTGTAAATGTATAGGTAATAGGATCATCTCTGAGGGTGAAAGGGACAAGGTACCCCATTTGGTCAACTTTACCAGCATTTCCAAGTCAGTGGATTCCCCAAACTAAAAATAAATCAACATTCTTACTTGTATGGTTTTCACTAAGACCCTCATTGATGATAATAATCTCTTCTTGATTAAGCCCACAGAAAGAAATATCCAAATGAATAAGTGAGGTATTATCCTTGAAGCAATCTTTGAAAGCCTCTGCTCATTTATTATGATCAAATCCCCCTCCAATGTTATTGAAGGAGATATCAAAAGTCTCCAATACGGTGTTTCCTTGTAAGGAGTTTGCAATAATTTTACCCCCTTTATACATGAGCCTATTCCAGTGAACCAGAAGCGTCTTGAGGGATATATTTGTTAAAATAATATCTCCTAGTATAATTGCTCCACTATCGGTAATCTCATTCCTGCTTATATCAAGGGTTTCTAAATTTCTGGCATAGACAAGAGCTTCTTGCAAAATCTCAAGATTCTGATCATTCATATTTGTATTGTCAAGACATAAAGATTTGATGCTAAATTTTAGAAGGGGCTCTTACTTTCTTTCCTTATCAGAAATCAAGGAAGCAAGTGTTTGATACACAGCACTTGAAAAGTTTCTGTTACTACTAATATCAAGATTCTCAAGTGAGTTAGGAAGTTTCTCCAGGATAGGAACCAGCATCCCATTACTCAAATCACTACTGCTAAGGTCAAGGTCTTTAAGCTTATTGATAACCTGAATTCCTTCAGAGAAAGGGACTGCATAATCTTTTCCTACAAAAGCACTTTTCACAGACTCTAGAGGGTATTTTTCAACACTAGGATTTTTATTGACCAGGCCAGTTGTCTTTGGTAACACCTTTCGTTTGTCAGTTGCATTCATAAACTCTACAAGTGGGTATTTAGGATCAGAACCTTCCAATTTTTCCTTCTCCTTGATTCTCCTATATTTCCTAAACTTTGAGTGCATGTTGTGAATAGCATCTTCTCCAGCCATCATATCATCAGGCTTCAGCTCATTTTTGTTATCTGGAGTAGATGCATACAAACTTGCGGTAGATTGGTTGCGAGTGTTACTCTGAGCTTGTGAATAGTACCCTAAGTCAGGCTTATCATTCTCTTTCGAAGTTGGACAGGAAATTAAATGTGCTATCCTTTTCATGCTCAATTCTAAAATTCAGCCTTAAATTTTACTATTTTTCTTTACTTTCCTCACCACCTCCTTATGACTTCTATAGAAATTTGGATTTGCCTTCAAAGAATCATCTAACAATTTATAGTCCTGCATTGGCTTGAGTCCTTTCCTTGGAGATTTAAGGAAACTTGGAGAAGTGATATCTTCCATGGGTTTGTAAACTATGGGTACTAAGGGAGACCTAGTCACTGATTTGATACCATTATTCTTAGAAGGAGTACCTTGAATACTTTTATTTAACCTGAAGTACTACTTTATTTTTAGGCTCGTCATTAGTTCTCCTTGTCATTGAATTTCTACTTGGTCTTCTTGAGTTTTTCCTGTCAATATTGGAAATAAATTTAGAAACATCTTGCTGAAAAGATGCAAAAATTCCTTGCCCTTTAAGTTCTGGTAGCTTAAAAGAAAACTCCTTTGGAAGATTCTACAGTTTGAATACAATGCTTACACTTAAGGCAGCTTGTTCTTCCTCCTTCTTCCGCTCAAGACTGTTTCTTCTAGCAGTTTTCTCCTCTTCACCCATATTGTAATTCCCAACAATGCTATTTTAGCTTCGGAAATCCTGATTTATTTTGAGGTTTTTCTGATAATCCATAATGATTAAAGTTATGAACAGGGAATTCTATTTTATTTCTTGTTCTAAGAGTATTCAGACTGCCATTTTTCTATAGGAAGGCTCAGATTATTCCAGAAGAAGATTCTCAAATCTCTCACAATTTAATCCAAGCTACAACCCAATACTTGTGAGGTAGTAATTTTAGATAAAAATGGCATTAGCTGATACTTTACAACTTCTGCCAAAAATCAGTGGTTTTCTAAGTAAAAGCCAAAATAACCTTCAGCATGTTTTCTTGGGTACTTAATTAATATTCTAAATTTCAATGGTCTGAACAGAAAAGAGCATGGTCTGGTACCAACATGTTTATGCACATGGTATTCTTCACAACAAATTGAAGAGAAAATGAGTTTTGGGATACTTAAAATATAGTGTTTTGAGGATCATTAGAAGCTACTTGTATTACCGGGATTGGATTCGAGAATCCTCATGTAATAGCAATAACTTACTTTCTTAGCCATCCCTTGAGTCTTGCCATTCAAACTATGTTCAATTACCAGATGTTTGGAAATATTTAATGTAAAATATATCTCTCAAAGGAGGTAAAAAGTGAGATTTCCCAGAAGAATCCTGAGGAGAGGCTTTATGAACTAATAATCTCCAGTGATGTTTGTCCAGATCTGGAAGATGTGAGGCATACCTTCTTCTTTCTGTCTTAATTGTGGACATAGCTTATAATAATATAATCAATTTATTCACAAAATAAAGGGGTTTTGGGGTTTTGGGGTTTTGGGGAGAT